ACAAGCTCCTACTAAAATAATTACCTATAAGTAATCTAATATTCCAAAATCCTTATCAATATCTCACTGGAACAAAATTTCTTGATATCCCAAAAATCTTTAATAGCAAAAGTCATTAATCCAAATAAATGAACCTCTGATGTTATTTATATTAATCATAAAACCTTATTAGAACTTTCATATATATAGTTTTATAATGGCAAAAACCCTCTTTAAGCCTCCAAACATACCCCAAAATGGCATTTAAGCTCTTAAACTAAAAACAAAGCATACAAGTCCTCCAACTCCACTAGCGATGCAAATAACCCCTTCTCAAAAATGGGCCAAATGGAATTTCATGTTTAGTATCACCTTGAAAGCATGAACACCCATGAATGAGAAGTAGACCTGGCAAAATTAGACCCAATTCGAAAATCCGACCCAACCCATCCGTTATGGGTAAGGTCATGGGTCTTATGTGTTAATCCGAAATTCGAAATCTGAAATGATCCAGACTAAAATTATCCGAACCCAAATGGGTTGGGTCATGGGTGAGTTGGGTCATGGGTGGGTCGGGTCACCCGAAATGACATGAACTTTTATTTATTTATTTTTTATTAGATTACTTAAAAATTAATTTTAAATTTCTAATTTCTTAATCTTAAAAGTAGAAATAAATGAAATACTCAAACCCTAATCTCTCATCAATTTCACTCTCTCAACTTTTCCTCTTCTCCACTCTTGCTCTCCCTTTCTTCATCTCAAGCTCTCTAATCCAATTTTTTGGTGGCACTCGCGTAAAAAATTAGATTAGGTGGCATATAGTCAGTTATGTTATATAACATCGTAAAAAAAAATCATTTTTTAAAAATAAAAAACAAGAATGCCTACTGAAAATCAAAACCCAATGGTTAAGGTACCCTCATAACCATTAGAAGTATAAAAACAAGAACATCAAGAAACATCAAAGTCCGTTCTTAATTGCTAATTTGTTCTTAATTAATAATTTGTTCCTAATTAATAAAAATCAATTATGATCCAAATTCTTCTTATATTTGGTTAGATATATTTTCGATTTGCCTTTTAAACTTTAATATTAAATAAGACTATATTTTTTTGCATAATGCCTCCCTAAATATTGAATAGAGCTATATTTTTTGTATAATACTCTTATAAACATTGAATAGGCACTAGATATTAATATATATATATATATATTGGATTTGTCTTTTGAACTTTAATCCTTCATGTATCTTCTTTTAATGAAGATTAATACCTTTATGAAATTATGAATTCTAAATATTGTATAAGCATTATATATTTGACATATATTTTAGTTCCACCTATATAATCACTAATCTTTTCCTTTTCTTTTCTTGAGATTGGAAAAAAATTGAATTATGAAATGGAAATTAACGTTTAATAAGTTTTCTAACTAAATAATTAATTAGTAATAAAGTTTTTTAACTAAATAATTAATTATTATTACATTTTGTTAAAGAAAAATAAAGAAAAATAGAGAAAAATATAGAAACTTTTTAATTATAATTTTAATTTTTTAAAAGTTGGGTCAACCTCTTTAATCCGACACTCAAAATGACCCAATCCGAGCAACTCAAGATCCGAGATGACCCAATCCGAACCTACCTAATCCAACCTGTTTGCCAGGTCTAATGGGAAGGCCTTATTTGCATTGTTAGTGGAGTTGGAGGACTCATCTACACCATTTTTAGTTTAGGGGCTTCAATGCTATTTTAGGATAAGTTTGAGGGCTTAAGAAGGATTTTTGCCTTTTATAATCCCCTTAACCTTATTTTTTATAATCTTTAATAATAATAATTCTTTAACAATTATAATATGTATGGCACATCAAAAACTTAATAATTATAAGGGAAAAGTACATATCAATATCGACTCTTAAAATAAATTGGAATTCCAACTTTAAATTACATTTTTTATTTAATTAAAGGTCGATTTAAAATTTAAAATTTTATTTTATTAAATATTAATATTTAAATTTGAAACCTGATTATATTAAAATATATAATCGGTTTTTAAATTTAAGTATCAATATTTAATAGGATGAATTTTTGAATTTTGAATTGAGATTTTTGTTTTCAAATATAGGTTGGAACTTTAAATTTTTTTAGAGTTGAGACTAATATGCACTAACTTTTAATTGTAATTTATAAATTAAGAAATTCTTAAAACTTTTAGAAAAACCTTCAATTTTATATTGATTTCATTACTTTAATACTAAAAAAAAAAATCATATGAAATCTCCATTAGTATTTTAAGTGAACCAAGATGTACAAATATTAAAATTCTTATAATTTTATCAAATATCTTTTCTTTGAGATTTTAAAATTGAGAAAATGATACATACACTCTTCAAAGTTACACACTCCGTTGCACACTAACGGTTTCCATTAATATGCCGTTAAAATTAACGGTTTCTGTTATTTATGCCATTAAAATTGATGGTTTTCATTATTTCTACCGTTAAAACTAACAGTTTCCGTCAATTTTAACAGCATAGTAATGGAAACTGTAAATGTGTAACGGAGTGTGTAACTTTTGGAAGGTGTATGTGTCAATGTCCTACTAATAAACATGTATATTAATATGATTTATCCATATTAAAATACATATTAAGTATAACACATAAATTATGTATCAATTGGAGGTCAAAGGTGCATGATTAGTGACAAATAAAATTTTTATCTAACATATTTTTTATGCTTTGCTTTGAAATCATTGTGTGAATATTATCATGTATATAATATATGCTATGAAACATATTTTGGAAATTAAGTTTTAATAATTGATGAGAATTATAGTTTTGATAATTCATCAAATTGTATCAAGACAAACTATAATGATACAAAGTAACTAAGTTATGATTTTATTCATGTTGATATTTTATTCAATATGAAGTTATTTGTTTTCATATATAAGTTTTAGCATATGAATTCTATAATTAAACTAAATTTCTAAATCTCTAAAGAGATTTTGAAAAATTAAAATTTAGGTATAATTCACAAGATATAATTTAAGATTAAAATATTATGTTATAATAGATTTTCCGGCTAATTAACTACCTTCAAGGTCCATCAAAAAAAATTTACCTTCAAGAAATAATCAGGCACATCTATTATGCACATTAGTAATAGCCTAATTGTGGCAATGTATAAAATTTTAAAGGACACTGATACATACACCTTCCAAAATTTATATACTCCGTTACACATTGATGGTTTTGGTTAGTGTACCATTAAAATTAACAAAAACCATTAGTTTTAACGGTAAAAATAATGAAAACCGTTAATTTTAACGGCATAAATAATGGAAACCGTTAATTTTAATGGTACACTAACGGAAACCTTCAGTATATAACTTTGGAGAGTGTATGTATCATTTCTCATCTTATTATTATTATATAAATAATTATTCTCATTTATAAAATTAAGCCATCCAATGTATATTCTTTATGTACTACATATAATTAGTAAATGAGATTATACGTATTAATAGGTGTTCCTCACATAAAATCTAATATGTATTGTGTATTGTGGGAAAATCCTAGTTGAAGCAAAGTAGGATTCACGTCAAAAAAATTAAAACTCCAAATGCACAATTACTCAAAATTAACAAAGTGTCGATATCCTCACGTTGCATCAGACTTGCACAATCACCTATAATTGGTTATGTCTCGACACCTTTACTCGCTGCACCCTTGTGCAATTTCTTAAATGGTAAAATAACAATATTGGTTTCTCAACTTCTATTTGCATTTTTTAATCTCCTTTTAAATTAATTAACTGAAATAAAATAGCAAGACCTTAAGCAACGGAAGAGTGTGATAACACAAGCCCACAGGCCTTAAAAGAGTCGACTAGGTCCAAATTTAGTTATACGGATCAATAACCCTTTTTCACATGAATGTTTCATCACAAATTTAGTAATATCTTGCAAATTATATATTCACCCTACATATCTCAAAATATTTTGTATAGTCTTGCACATAAATATTTATGAAGATTATTTTGAATACTTTGAGAGATAGAGGGATTAAGTATCGATTTTTCTTATATTTTTAATTATTCTCTATATCAAATTTTCCCTTTACATAGAAACTTTGCTAATTTCATATGGTCTAATCCTTACTTCATGACCATCCATTATTACTGTGTCAGTAGTGTCTTTGACTTTAAAAAACTTTGTAAACTATTAAAACTTTAAGGATAAAGTTACATTAAGCAAAACCATTAAGGGACTACACAAAAAAATTCCCTTTAATCATCTCTAAAAATTGGAATTTGTTACGTAACATGAAACTAGATTTCAGTCGAATTTGCAACTGCCACAGGCCTAATTAACTAGATTGAATTACCCCTAGGCCATTAGTTGAAAATATATTGAATATAATACAAAGTTTAGGTTTTCCTTTTAATGGAGTCCTTGATCACAAACACGCCGATATAATTCTAATAAGACTTCAAACCAGTTAAAGGAACATCAAAATCTTGACTTAATTGAATTATAACATGTCTGATTTCCCATAGAAAACATGTGTCAAATAATGAAACAAGAGAAACCAAATTTGTTCTTAAACTAGAAACTTCAATTAACAATTTCTCTTAATTCAATTAGATCAACTTACATGTTTTTTAGATTTTAAACCTTCATTTCTTGCTAACTAAACCCTAAAATCTAATTAAATTTTAAAACAAAATTGACAACCTCGAAATCAAAATTTCAATTGGTTTGTCAAAACCCACACCAATAAAACTAATCGATCTCTTAATTATAATTTTGGTTTTAGTCCAATTAATCACTGCTGATCAATAATCACCTCAGTATAAATCTAATTACACTTAACAAGTTAAGATCTAATCACATCAGAAACACATTTAAAATTAATTGAAAATCTTAGCATGATAAAAAATTCAAACTTAATCCCCAATTAGCACTTAATCATACTTAATTATAAAACCATCTTTTAATTTCAACTTTATGTCATCAACAATTCATGAAATCAAAAGATTTTGTCCCAACTCTCCAAACAAATATATACAAGAAACAATTTTAAATAATCACGACTTGGATCCCAAATGACATATGATTGCTCTAATACTATGTGTTAGAATTTAAGGACTGACATAAATAAAATTTAGAATACCAAAATATAACAAAATAAATAAATTGCATACTTAATCTATATAATGACCATAATCAGTTTACAAGACAAGAATGTCACCAAGATACATCTAGGATCATCATAATTTAGAATATCATATAAAATTTACAAAGTAAATATGATTAGTATGGATATTAGGTTTCTCTCCTTATTCAACTTTTATATAGTGACAACTAAATTTTTTATTTAACTCAATTTTAAAAACCAAATATAATTAGTGGAAAACCATATAAAATTGTTCAACATTTGAGTGGAGACGTTTGACAACAACAGGCCAATACCACCCAGCCCACTCCCATCAAATAGGTGGAGGCCTTATTGAGGTGAATCGGGATTGTGAGGCCACCAGTAGCAGTAAGCATAACCAGCTGGAGGCACAACAGGGGATTAGCTCTCACGGACAGAATTTAATAGCCAAAAAAGGTAAAGAGAAAGAGGGATTGCTACGGGATGGGAGCAGATCTGCTTCGATTGATCTAGAAGGTGCCGAAGGGAGTGCTGGGGAGGGGAGGGATCTGATCGGAAAGGAAGGAATGGCATCAAGAAGCAAACCGGATAGGATAAAGAAAAAGAAGAAGGCGCTTTTGTGTAGATCAGTGTACCAAAAAGCCAGCATCCTGGGATTAATGAGCCATAAGAAGAAATCTAAGAGCGGAGCAAGATCCAAGAAAGTTACAAGACAGGAGATGCCGAGCTTCATGCCGAATCCAAGCTACTCTGTGGCGGGAGGGTCGGTTGGCGACAGCGGGATTGAAAATTGCAACAGGATGTTAAAGGAGCATTCTAGCCGGAGAATAGCAGCAGAGCTTTGGGACTTCGCGAAGCAAATCGGGGTTACTGCAGAGGATGAGGATGAGACTCTCAAGAACCTGGAAGAAATGGAGAATCGAGACAGAGAAGCTAAGGATTTAGAGATCCCAAAGTCAGTGAGTAAGGATCCGAAGGTTAGTATTATTGAGTTATGAATGTCTTAGCTTATAACATTAGAGGAATGGGTGGGGTAGGGAAGAAAAGACACTTGAGGGAGTTAGTCAAGAAGGAAAAGGCGGATTTCCTAGCAATACAAGAAACTAAATTGGGAGGGATAGACAATAAAATTAGCAGATCAGTGTGGGGCACAGATGATGTGGAATGGGTTGCAAAGGATGCGGTGGGTATGTCGAGTGGATTAGCTTGTTTTTGGAATTCCAAAGTAATTAAAGCCACAAGAATTCTGGAGGGGGAGAACTTTATAGGTATAGAAGGATTGTGGTGCCCTGATAATGAACAAATTATTTTGATAAATGTTTACTCTCCTTGTTAGCTACCTGGTAAGAGAGTTCTTTGGACAGAGCTAAGAAGTCTAATTGAGAATGGGGGAGAAAAAATTTGCATTATGGGCGACTTTAACACTGTTAGAAAGGCAGAGGAAAGAAAGGGGAGCTCAGGCGTGACCAGAGATATGAGAGAATTCGACAATTTTATACAGGCCATGAAGTTGGTTGACATCCCGTTAGTGGGTAGGAAGTTCACTTGGTATCAAGCAAGAGGCAACTATATGAGCAGAATTGACCGGTTCTTACTCTCAGAAGGGTGGTTGTCGAAGTGGGGAGAGGCCAGGCAATGGGGCTTGAGAAGATCTATGTCTGACCACTGTCCAATTTTACTAAAACACCAGACCATTGAGTGGGGCCCAAAGCCATTCAGATTCTTCGATTCTTGGCTAGAACAAGAAGGATGTAGTAAGTTGATTAAAGAAGTGTGGAATGACACCCAAATTCAAGGGTGGGCAGGCTTCCGTCTCAAAGAAAAGTTGAAGACAACCAAGGAAGCGTTAAAGAAGTGGAGCAAAAATCTAATTCCAACATTGGATATTAGAATAAATAATGCTACTTCCGACATCGCCAAAATTGATATGAAGGGGGAAGTGGCAAATCTGTCAGAGGAAGAAATTGAGAGGAGAAGAGAAGCGTTCATTCAGATTTGGGAGAGTCTGAAAAGCAAGGAGAGCATGATGCAACAGAAATCAAGGAAAGTTTGGGTGGCTCAGGGGGACGCCAATACCAGGTTCTTTCACAACTGCGTGAAGGGCAGATGGAGAAGGTCAGAAATGAATAGCATACAAATAAAAGGGGTTCAAACCAGGGATGTCAACAAAATGAAGGAGGAAATTGCTTGTTATTTTGAGGATCTGTATGCTGAGGAGAAGAGGGTTAGACCAAGGCTCGATGGGCTGGGTTTCAAGCAACTTACACGGGAAGATAATGACACCCTTATTTCTCCCTTCAGTGAGGACGAGATAAAGGTAGCAGTAGGAGAATGTAACAGTTCGAAGGCCCCAGGTCCTGACGGATTCAATTTCAGGTTTGTCAAATCTGAATGGGATGTAATTAAAGATGATGTGGTGAGATTCCTGCAAGAATTCCAAGCAAATGGCAAACTGGTGCGAGGTCTAAACGCTTCTTTTATTGTCCTCGTGCCAAAAGTTGAAAATCCAGTTCGGATTGAGGAATATAGACCTATTTCTCTTATTGGAGTGATATATAAAATCTTGGCTAAGCTTTTAGCCAACCGGCTGAAGAAGGTGCTTGAGAACGTAATCGGAGAACAACAAATGGCTTTTCTTAAGGGAAGACAGCTGATGGATGGAGTAGTTATAGCCAATGAGGTGATTGACGAAGTAAAAAAGAAAAAGAAGAAAGCATTCTTGTTCAAAATAGACTTCGAGAAAGCTTTTGATAAAGTAAGCTGGTCTTTTCTTGATCACATGATGCAGAAGATGGGTTTCTGTGAGAAATGGAGATTGTGGATTCAAGAATGCCTTCGATCTAGCCTGGTATCAAGCCTAGTTAATGGCAGCCCAAGTAGGCAATTCAAAGTGACAAGAGGTCTAAGGCAGGGGGACCCTCTATCTCCGTTTCTGTTTTTGATTATTGCAGAGGGGCTAAATGGACTGGTTTCAGAGGCCATCAAAAATGGGAAGCTAGAAGGCGTGGAGGTGGGTAACAAAAATTTTAGAATTTCACACTTACAGTATGCAGATGACACGATTCTATTCGGTAAGGCCACGGAAGAAAATGTGTGGGCAATGAAAGGAATCTTGAGAGCATTTGAACTGGTCTCGGGTCTCAAAATTAACTTCAATAAAAGCCAACTAGTGGAACTTGGCGTGGAGGATGATTGGCTAAACAAAATGTCATGGGTGATGTGCTGCAAAAAAGGTGCCTTGCCAATTAAGTACCTCGGTATCACAGTTGGAGGAAGTTGCAAAAGGATCGCATTTTGGAAACCATTGGTAGAAATATTTGAAAGGAAGCTAGCTTCATGGAAGGGCAGATACTTATCCTTAGGGGGTCGGATTACGCTTATTAACTCAGTGCTGTCAAGTCTCCCCGTCTTCTGGATGTCGATGTATGTGATCCCAAAAGGTACAATTTTTTTACTTGACAAAATTCGTAGGAAATTCTTGTGGGGTGGGTCTAAGGGGGGGAAGAGGATTAACTGGGTCAATTGGGAAAATGTGTGTAAAGAAAAACATCTCGGTGGTTTGGGGGTTAAAGATCTAAGGAAGTTTAACCTTGCCTTGTTAGGCAAGTGGTGGGGGAGACTTGTGAGAGATGACAAGGGGCTCTGGGGTAAGGTTATTTTTGAGAAGTACGGGAAGGTAAGGGACCCAAGTTACAATTGGCTGAGGGAGGGTTTCAATTGTGGGTCTTCATGGTGGAGGGATATTTGCAGGTTAAGTGACATGGAAGATAACAACAAAGGGTGGCTCGCAGATGGTCTAGAAATTAGAGTGGGGGATGGGAAAGATACGAGCTTTTGGTGGGATGAGTGGTGTGGGGGGGTGTGTCTTGCTAACAAGTTTCCTAGACTCTACCTAATTTCTGCAGGAAAAGATAAAAAGATATCCCAAATGGGAAAATGGCAGCATGACTTATGGAAGTGGGACTTGGAGTGGAGAAGAAACCTATTCAGCTGGGAGGAACAACAGGAGGCAGCACTCAAGGCAGAGATCCAAGACACTAAAATAGAGAGGGGAAAATCAGATGTGAGGAATTGGGTCCATAGCAAGGAAGGAATATACACAACAAAATCAGCATACCAGGCCTTGACAAGGGCTCACGGGAGTATACAGCGGGGACCAGCACTCAGTAAAGTTTGGCAGGAGTACATCCCGAGCAAAATTTCCGTGTTTGCCTGGCAAGTGTTGCAAGATAAAATCCCAACAAAGCTGAATCTACTGAAGAGGGGAATCATTCAAGACATTGCAGACTGTAAGTGCACTTTTTGTGGCTTAGCTAGTGAAGACCCCAATCACCTCTTTATTCATTGCAAAATTGCGTGGGGTCTTTGGAACAATTGCTATAGGTGGTGGGGTAATATGCAGGTGCTAGATAGAGATTGTGGGAGGGTGTTTGATCAGCATCCTTTCATATTTAATAACAAAGAGGTGAGGAGGGGCTGGGTATGCATTTGGTTCTCTGTTATTTGGTCAATTTGGTTAGCTAGAAATGAAAAGCTATTTAGAGGCAAAGAGGTAGAGTCCGGCAGACTATTAGAGCTGGTCCAGGTGAGGTCTTTTAAATGGATCAAAGGCAAAAGGAGAGGAAGCCTCTTCACCGTGACAGACTGGATCCTTAACCCAGTAAGCTGCTTGAATTCGTCCCAGGTAGTTTAAGAGCACAAGGCTGTTGTACTCCTAAGGCAGATTAAAAAAGAGTCCCGCCATTTCAGTCGTTGGGGCCCTTAGCTGACCTGCTTTAAAACATGTAAAGGGTTCGGAGTACCCCCTGTACTCCAAATCAATAATTTCTTCGCCTTTCAAAAAAAAAAAACAACAGGCCAACAGCCAAAGTACCATTGTTGATAAAGCCTTTATATATACATAGCCGAAGCTTCCTTGGACCATATCCAAGTTCTCATGAAAGTTACCGTGGCAGCTTTGATCTCCACTAGTGAAAATTAACGGCATAGTTGAAGATGTTGTTTTCCTTCCACTTGTGCAGGATTTTGTTCTTTTATTCTTTTCTAAGAAATTGAAAAAACCTTTGTAGAAAAATGGAAGCAGATTCTCTCATCTTGAAACAACCAAAGAATCAATGTCAATGGTATTCGAGTGGCGGATCATTGATCCAGGCCTCATATAATTCAGCCAACTTGCACGTCTTCGTCACACTTTTCTCCAAGAAATCTCTTCCACGCAGCATATATCTAAATTCAATTCCTTTCAATCATTCTCACCATTGTCTTCTACTATAGAAAAGTCCTACTATGTGCTAAACGTCAATCGCCCATTCTAGACTCTGATTTTTCAACAATCTCTGAATTATACAGAATGGCACTAAGTAAAGAAAGGTTTTAGGGTACAGGATTACTCTGCTATACAAAATGTATCGGCTATCTCTCACCACATTCCTCATCTCTCTTCTCCATGCCCTCCACTCGTCTGCCACCGCCGCCACCTACAACGCCATTAACATCATACTCCTTGACTGCGGTTCAACTTCAAACACTATATCCTTTAACGGCTGCAACTGGGAGGCCGATCCTCCCTCTAAATATTGAGCATATCTAATAAAACCCTATACCCATGAAATGTTGAGTGTAGGTAAAAAAATAAAGAAAAAAGAAAAAAGAGTTATATAACAAATTTGCTGTAATGTTATATCAAGTTTTCTAAGGAAATTTAAATTGTCCTAAAGTTGCAATTCACAAAGAAAGGATGATCATTCTATCAAACTAAAAAAAGAAAAGAAAAAGTGGGGTTGAGGTGGGGGTGGGATCCTAGAAGAGAATTATCTGTGGTTTGCGGAACTTACAGCTTCGTAACAAAGTTATCCTGTCCCTCTCTTGAGGATTGTTGATTGCCTACATCATATGTTTCAACACACTCAATAATATATTTATTAAAAAATTATTATTTTTAAATTTAAATTTGAGACGGAAAAAATTTTAAACTGTAAAATTTAATAATTAAACCGATAAGTATTGGTAAATGTGTTAAATCGAATAGTGTGTCAATTATTTCCCTTTTCAAAATTAGTTTGTTATGCAGAAACAACACTTAAACAGTCACATAAAAATTACAAAACAAAATGCAAAATCAATCTCCAAAGTCCAAACAAACTTCCTCAAGCATTTTTTGCTCAGCCTCTACTTCAGCAGAGTCCCTAAAATTTAAAACAGTGAAAGCTTAGAATCATTAGCTAACAACAGTAAAGGACTACAATTTTAATTAGCTTTAAATTTCAACCTGAAAGTTTCATAGAAGTTGTTCTTATCGTATTTTAGTGCTGTCTAGTACAAAGTGAAATTTTTACCTTCAACTGCTAATTGATGAACTTCAGTCAGCTAAGTTCTTTAGGATGCAATCGTAAGTGCTTCATGTCACACAATGCCAATCAGTTTGGTGAATAAGAGCCTGCAGGTTTGCAGCTTCAATATCATATATACTGATATACGTGCCAGTAGCTGGAGGGAAACTTGATATCTGGAGTAAGTTCCTTCAAATTAGAATGCAGATTGTGGTACAATTTCGGGGGAAAAAAAAAAACTCACCTGTAAGGTGTGATTTATGCAATCATGAACATTATCATTAAGGCAAAACTGAATAGCATCATTTAAGGCAAAGTTGGGTTTCACTACATTTCTTATCTACTCAATATATTGTAGATCCTGTATGAATATTGACAAGTTTTAGATTGCTAAAGCCTCTTGTTGATTATGAAGTTGCAATTTCCACTATAAATGATTAGGCATTTTTGGTAAGATTTTCGTTTTTGTTTGTCATCGTCTTAGTTCCTCACCAGGAGAGAAAACAGTGGTACCAAAGTGTTTTTGAATCTTGATTGACCAGAATTATCAAATAAATTAATAGAATGAATTTTGATAAATGACATATTAGATAATACATACACTAAAGCAGGAAAAAAAAATTCTTCAGCAATATGCATACCCTTCAATCTTCTCTTTACATATTTTTTGCACTTAATTATTTCTTTTCAGTGTTGTATGTTGACCTTTTTACTGTAACAGATGAACAAAGATTAATCTAACAGTTCAGGAAAAATCACAACCAACAAAGAGAATATATGCTAGGGTGGGTGAGTTGTTCCCTGAGGCATATCCCTTGAGGAATATGCCAAGCAAAGTATAAAAGAAAATCATGTCAATCATGACGATGAAAATGATGATCACGGTGATGGAAATGATGATCGTGATGAGAACAGTACCCTGTCCCTCATGACAATAATTATGAAACGAAGCTAGTTATTGTTAGAAAACCAAAAAGAAGAATAATTTGAAGAAAAAGTTTATTGCTTTCTTGAATCATACTGTATGTACAATGACCTATATATAGGTGTTGACAAAGAGAATATTCTAAGGTATAAAGTATACAAAGAGAATATTCTAAAGTATAAAATATTTATAATAATTTTAAATATAATTGTATTCACATCTTAACATCTCCCCCTCAAACTCAAGGTGGCTATGGTGAAACCAACTTGAGTTTGGAAAGAAGAGTATGAAAGCATCCAAGAAAATGAGTGTTGGTAAAGAGATCTGCTGGTTGATCAGTGGAGCCAACGAAAACCAAATGAACAGTTCCTTGTGCAACTTGATGGTGAATAAAGTGACAATCAACCTCAATGTGTTTAGTGCGTTCATGAAAGATATCATTATGAGCAATCTGCATAGCACTTTGATTATCACAATATAAATCAGTAGAAGGTTGAGGAATGCACATATCTTCAAGAAGCCACCGCAATGAAAGAAGTTCTGATGTGGTATCCCCGAGAGCTCTATACTTAGCTTCAGTACTAGAGCGAGATGGAATAGCTTGTTTCTTACTCCGCCAAGAGATAAGAGAATTACCAAGGAAAAGATAATAACCAGTGGTAGATCTACGATCAGAAGGATCACTGGCCCAATCAGCATCAAAGTAAGTGCGAAGCACAGGGGAGGAGTTGGCAAAAAAATGGAGTCCATGAAATAATGTTCCCTTAACATAGCGAATAATGCGAAGTACTACTGCATAATGAGTAGAGTGAGGAGCAGCCATAAATTGACTAACAATGTGAACTGCATATGCTATATCAGGGCATGTCGTAGTAAGATAAACCAAACTACTAACCAATTGCTGATAACGAGTAGGATCAGAAAGTGAAGAGCCATCCATAGGTGTAAGCTTGACATGAGGTTCAAGAGGTGTAGAAACACTCTTACCATCATTGAGTTCAGCTTTAGAAACAAGATCGGAGACATACTTTACTTGAGAAAGTAGGTAACCATCATTTGAAGAAGTCACTTCAAGCCCCAAAAAATAGCTCAGAAAACCAAGATCTTTCATCTCAAATTTCTGACTGAGAGATTGTTTTAACTTCTCAACACCTGCGACATCATCTCCAATAATAATCATGTCATCAACATAAAGAAGCAAAAGAACATCAACATAAAGAAGTAAAAGAACCATACCTCGAGCAGTCTTACGAATGAACAAAGTTGTATCATGTGGAATGGAAGTAAAACCAAACTCACTCACAGTAGCACTAAACTTTGCATACCAGGCTCGAGGGGATTGCTTCAACCCGTATAATGCATAGCGCAATCGACATACCTTGTTTGGAGGATGGTTGAGCCCAGGAGGTGGTTTCATATAAACTTCTTCTTCTAAGTCACCATTAAGAAAAGCATTTTTCACATCCATCTGAAACAATTTCCATCTCCGCATAGCAGCGACAGCAAGCAAACTGCGCACAGATGTAAGACAAGCAACTAGAGCAAATGTCTCCTCATAGTCGATTCCATACTCCTGTGTAAAACCCTTGGCAACCAAGCGTGCCTTATAACGCTCCATAGAACCATTAGATCTTGTTTTGATATTGTACACCCATTTACACCCTATTAGAGATTTTTTAGTAGGGACATCGACTAAATCCCATGTACAAGTGTTCTCAAGAGCTTGTAATTCATCTTGCATAACTTGTTGCCAAAGAGGGTTAGAAGAGGCCTCTTGATAGGATTGAGGCTCATATAACGAAGTAATAGTAGGAAAACAATGATAATCACGAAGGTAGTTTGGAGGATTTCTTACCCGAGTAGGATGACTTGAGGATGGGACAACAAGCTCATTTGTAGAATCAACAAGTGATACAGATGAGGAAGTAGAAGAAGGCTCAAAATTATCTAATGCATTACCAGCAGGCAGATCATGTTCTACAAAACTAGTTGAAGCATGTGGTGAGGCATTGTAGAGCTCATCAGATGTACCTACATTAGAATCGCTAGGAAACAGCTCAATAGAAGGATTAGTAAAAAATGGAGGTTGATGAGAAGATGACACTTTGAAGTTTGACAATGATGAGAACATAGTGTGTTCCCAAAAGACAACATGATGTGAAACTCAGAGTTTTTGTGACACAAGATCCCAACAACGATATCCTTTTTGTGTAATCCCATAACCCAAAAAACAACATAATCGAGCTCTAGGTTCTAACTTATTATGTTCATAAGGTGGAAGAAGAACAAAACATGCACAACCAAAAACCTTAAGAAGATTATAAGTAGGAAGAATACCATGCAGATGCTCATATGGAGACTAGTTATTAAGGACTGATGATGGAATGCGATTAATAAGATAAACAACTGTAAGAGTAGCTTCACCCCAAAATCGCTCTGGACAAGAAGATGAAATGAGCAGAGCACGAACAGAATCAAGGATGTGTCTGTGTTTGCATTTGGCTCGCCCATTTTGTTCAGAAGTATAAGGACAAGATTGTTGTGGCAATGTACCATGTTCTTTCAAAAAGGATTGAAGTTTAGTACCAAGATATTCAGTAGCATTGTTAGTTCTCCAAACTTTGATAATTTTAGAGAACTGAGTTTTGATCATGGTAGCAAAATCAATATAAATTTGTGATAATTCAGAGTGACTTTTCATAAGGTATATCCAGGTAAAACGAGTATGATCATCAATAAATAACACGAAGTACCTGGAACCCCCCATGGTGGGTGTAGGAGATGGACCCCAAACATCAGAATGCACGAGATCAAAAGGAGTAGTAGAATGAGAATGACTACTTGAAAAAGATAAAGCTGGTTGCTTTGCAGATTGACATGACACACAATGTACAGATTCATTCGGAACTGATCCTAATAAACCACGAGAGAAAGTGGACAAAGTTTACCGACTGAGGTATGTCCGAGTTGTGAGTGCCACAAATGGAGAGGAGAAATGTTAATAGCAGCAGAAACTTGGAAGATTTGTTGATATGGAATTTGTAAAGACTCTAATTCGATAGCACAAAGCAGGGTTTGGATGAATCGATCATTTAGAAATGATGGTGTATCCATTTTATTATCAAGAATATGTAGATAGTTGAGCTCAAACAAACGCCCCACCTTGCGACCAGTTCCAAGAAGTTGTCTTGTCCATGGGTTCTGCACACGACAACCATGAGCAAAAAATGTTACTTCAAGACCAAGATCACATAATTGACTGACAGATAGAAGATTATAACTAAGTTTTGGAACTAAAAGGGCATTTGGTAAAGTCAATGATTTTGTAGAAACATTGCCAATGTGACTAACATTCATAGGGGAACCATCAGCAAAATAAATATCAGGAAAGGAATTATTAGGCGACATTGAAGAGAAATGAGTAATAATTGAAGACATATGGTTACAACAACCAGAATCTAAATACCAAGGTTTGGTACCCGAAGCAATAGATAAGGCAATAAGAGCATTAAAAAGATTTAATATCACTTGTTTTAGGGATTCAAGGTTGACATTAGGTTGTTCTATTACTTCTTTGGCAACCATAGCAGTAGCAGGATGAGTTACAATCCTTTCAAAACTTGCCATAGAATTAGTAAACTTACAATACTGAAAAACTCTAAAATATGAAGAAATAGATGCCAAGATCGAAATAAAAAACAAACAAAATACCTCAGAAAGGGCCTGAGAATCAAGGATAAACAATCCAATCTGGAGAAAAAGAGATCCCAACGACAAAGTTTCAGATCTAGAATGGAATTGAAAATCCAACGCCAAAAAGCCCAACAGCGATGATAAGAGAAAAAAACCGGGAGCTTATTGCTCGATGCCATGTTAGAAAACCAAAAAGAAGAATAATTTGAAGAAAGGTTTATTGCTTTCTTGAATCATACTGTATGTACATGACCTATATGTAGCTGTTTATAAAGAAAATATTCTAAGGTATAAAGTATACAAAGAGAATATTTTAAAATATAAAATATTTATAATAATTCTAAATATAATTATGTTCATATCTTAACAGTTATAATGAATTGAGTCTAAATACCCGATGCTACTCTTCACCACAACGCTGACTACCACGTGCTAGTGGGAGCCAATTTCGACAAATCAAAATCCTGACACATTAGCCACGTAAATCTCCCAAGGGAGTGGAAAGACTTTCCTAGCATGAAGTTGGATGCTTCCAAGGGATTTCATGTGAAGTCTCCAAAGAAGTCTTCTTTTTTTTATTTTTTTTCTCTTCCTTATGTTCCAGGTCCAGGATAACTATTGAATCACAAGGCTTTTTATTTTGCTTTCCTAAAGTTTTGTTGCTTTGATGGCCATCATACATGTGAAAAAATAGATGTTGCCATGAAAACTGAATACAAATTAGAGTGGCAAGTCAATTTTCAGTTCCGCTTTAAACATGTAAATTAAAGTGACAATCAAAGGGACATTAATGTCATTGGCATTAGAGTGGCGGGGTCATTGATCCAGGCCTCATAGAATTCAATCAAAGACATTGCAGGTCTTCGCCTCACTTTTTCTCCATGAAATTTCTTCTTCAGAGCATATTTCACTTCCTTTCAATCAGTCTCACCATTAACTTCTACTTTAGAAAAGTCCTACCATGTGATAAACTTTAATCTACCATTCCATTCTCTGATTTTTCAACCATCTCCGTGTTATACAGAATGCCACTAATTAAAGAAAGGTTTTAGGCTACAGGATTAATCTGCTTTACAAAATGAATCCGCTGTCACTCATCACTTTCCTTATCTCTCTCCTCCATGTCCTCCTCTCGTCCGCCACTGCCGCTGGTTACAACGCCACAGACATCATACTCCTAGACTGCGGTGCAACTTCAAACACCACATCACAGGATGGCCGCAACTGGGAGGCCGATCCTCACTCAAAATATTCCCGCTTCAACAACCCAAACGCATCGTTTTCTTCCGATGCCACCCGCCAGGACCCCTCTGTTCTCCGAGTTCCCTTTCTCTCTGCACTTATCATTCGCTCTAAGTTTACTTTCAGTTTCCCCGTGTTTTCTGGTCCAAAATTCCTCCGTCTCTACTTCTATCCAGAAACATATTCTGGTCTTGACGCAGCTACCTTCTTCTTCTCCGTCACTGCCAACCATTACAACCTCTTGAATAATTTCAGTGCTTCTTCGACGATTTCCGCCCTGGGCTCCTTTATCAAAGAGTATGTTGTCACGGTGTGGGACGGCCAGATGCTTAACGTAACCTTTACTCCATCACCGGACTCTTTCGCTTTCATTAACGCCATCGAAATTGTTTCCATGCCAAGCGTCCTGTATCTACGTGGTAGTGAAATCCCACTTGTGCTTGCAGAGGGTGGCCGTTTGTTCACTTTGGATAACACCACTGCTCTTGAGACTATGTACCGTCTCAATATTGGTGGAAAGCGAATTGAGAACAAGGATGATACTGGAATGTACCGGACATGGAGTCAAGATGAGGATTATCTGGTTGCATCAAAGTGGGTTACTGTCTACAATTTATCTGATTCACCAATTAAATATACCCCAGACACACCAGAGTACACTGCACCGAAGGACGTCTACACTACCTTACGTATAATGAGCAGTGATCCTTGGCTGAATGGGAAAAGTAACATGACATGGATTTTCACTGTCGATGCGGAGTTCCCCTACCTCGTTAGGCTTCATTTCTGTGAGCTCCTTGATTCGATCACCGGACCAAATCAAATTGTTTTCAACATATTCATCAATAATCAACCGGCGGCGAAACAAGTAGACGTATTTGATATGGCTGGTGACTCTGGGATTCCGATTCATAAAGATTATATCGTTTTGACTGGGAAAGGTGCTAAAGCGAAGGAACTCCGGCTAGATTTGCATCCTGATCAATCATCAAAACCACAATATCTCAATGCTTTCTTGAACGGCTTAGAGATTTTCAAGTTGAATGGAACTGCTGGTAGCCTAGCAGGGCCAAATTCTTATCCAGTCTCTAGTTCTCAACCACGTGAACTGTTGCCAGAAAGTCCAAAAAGCCATGAAAAATCAATGATTTTGCCTATTGTGGGAGCTATTCTAGGTGGTTTTGCTCTGTTTTCTCTCCTCTTAAGCTTCTTCATTTTACAGAGAAGGAAACTAAAAGACTCACTCTCTTTCACATCAAAGTTCTTTGCCACAAGAACCTCCTCCTCGTTACCGTCCGATCTTTGTCGTTACTTCTCAATCGCTGAGATCAAAGCGGCCACTCAAGATTTTGAGGATACATTTTTAATTGGAAGAGGAGGATTTGGCAACGTTTACAAAGGGATTATCAATGATGGAACCGCCACCATCGCAATCAAACGGTTAAACCCTTCATCAAGGCAAGGGGTCCGTGAGTTCTGCACCGAAATCGCCATGCTTTCGAATCTTCGACACAGGCATCTTGTTTCTCTAATTGGATACTGTGATGATCACGGTGAGATGATCCTGGTGTACGATTACATGGCACGTGGCACACTCCGCGATTATCTCGACGGAACCAAGAATCTCTCATTATCATGGAAACAACGGCTGGAGATCTGCATTGGGGCAGCGCGTGGGTTGCACTATCTCCATGGAGAGGCAAAGCATGTTATCATCCACCGCGATGTGAAATCATCAAATATATTATTGGATGAAAATTTCATAGCAAAGGTGTCAGATTTTGGTTTGTCGAAACTAGGTCCTACAACCACGTCCGAGACCCACGTCAGCACCATGGTGAAGGGTAGTTTTGGGTATATAGATCCAGAGTATTATCGC